ACTGAAGTGGTAAACGTCTGAGACCTGCATCACTTCGGGCTTTCCTCCCACATTAAGAAGACACGCCGCGATATAACTGGAATACTGTTCAATGCAGCGTTAAACCCAACTCACTCACTAACTATTACCGCATGGGTTCAAGATGCCAGTGAGAGAAGAAATAAAACCTCTATCAATTAATTATCAATTAATCTTTGGTTTTATTAGGCCTTCTGGAAATTAATAATAATGCATTTTAACACTCTCATTAAATCTGACATGCATAGTGCCTCACATATTGATGCTCATTTTGAAATGCATCTGATGATGATCTATCTAAAGGAGATGTCTTTTGCTGTTGTTTTTGCAGCTACAGGATTTATTGGATCTACATGTCAGCAAAATACAGACTGTTCCGTGACAAGGTCTGTCTGTGTCCACTCCGAGTGCATGTGTGATCCAGGGCTATCCTTCTCACCACAACAAAAATCTTGTGTTTCAAGTATGCATACATTTTTTTTCTTTCTATTTTTACTCAGTCCCTTGAAAAGGAGGCTGCTTTATGTTTTTTTGCCGCATTGTTGTTTCAAAAAGGAATTTTAGTTCACAACGACCGATCAAAGTGAGATTTAGAAAAGACATTTTCTCGAAAATCGCCTTCTATTATATTATGAACCTTTGCAGACGTACAGTACAAATCCCCAACTGGTGCATTTGGATGTGTTGGTATTTCTGATAAAAAAAATGTTGGTATCTTTGGCACTAATCTAGATTTAGCCTCGAATACGTGTAGCGTTCCTTTCCGGAGCATAACTCGGAAACCTTTTAAAAATTCGTTATAAAACTTTGTATATATATAAAATACAAACTGAATTGATGCCTGTAGATGTAATGTTATTTCCTTGTTTTACCCTCCCTTTCTCCATATATAGTCACTACATATAAACAAAAAGAATTCTAAGGTGCCCTATGGTGGGGTGTTGTGATAACGCGGTGTTCTTGTTAGTTTTAAAAATATTATTATTTTCCTGGATACTGGGGAACAAATGATGTCAATACTAGTGGCTCAAAAAAACGTTTCTGCAATTTATGTCAGATAAGAACAGACATTATCCACTAAACAGACAACAGCAAGTCAACTTTATTTAACTATACCTCAACTACATATTTTGTTCATATCATTCGTAGGGTGGTACATTGAAAAGGAAATGGTCATGTGTAAGTTAGATGTGCTTCTTTGTGTACTGAACCAATTCCTTGTGTTGGCCTGGTAGTTCTGATACCCATGTTTCCTTGAAGGTGAATGTCTAAGATTGAAGTGCCAATATGATTATAAAGTAACTTAAAGCATCGGGCTTTCTCTTTGAAAGATGTAGTGCATTTCGCAATTGTTTTCGTCCACACAGTAAGGGATGTCAGTAAACAGGAAGTATGTATATACTAGTATATGTAATACCCTAAAGATGTATTGTATTAGACTAGTGTTTTCACAAACAAGAAATGGTATATTTAGACTTGATAGCATTGAGTGGAATTGCATTTTGCTTTCATATTTATGTAGCGGAAGGAATGCAACTCTGGAATGTTATTTTTGCTGGGGCATTCTGGAAACAACAGTAAAGGGGCAACCTCTATTTCTGCAAGTGCTTGTATACGCTCCTCTAATCAAAAGTCGTTTTGAATATAATACAAACCAAAAGAAGTAGTTTTCAACTCCGTATATGCAATATGCGACAGGAATATACAATTCAACTCTGATTTGTATGCAGCTTGCAAGACGTACGGTTCCCATTACACTAAAATGCGTGGCTATTATATAGGCGGGAACAACATGGCTACCTTCACAGGCGTGACAGAACAACAGTGCATGGACCACTGCTCCAGCAAAACCAACTTTGTCTGCCGTTCTGCAGACCTGCGAACCTCTGACGGGAGGTGTGACCTGAGCTCCAAAACTCTTCTGACTGTTGCCTCATCGAACTACAAAATAGAGGCGGATCCTACAATTATGACCCATTTTTCCAGAGATGGCGAAGCCTGATCTGACCACCTCAAATATAAAAACTCTACAGCACAAAAGTCTTCATGTCAACATGTGCTCAAAACTGTAACAAGTTTCATAGAGAAGCATGCCATCTTATCGCACGAAAATCTTATCTTATCTTATCGGAACGTAAATATAAAAATTTCTAAAATGTCCAAATAGCAAAGAGCAAAACATTTCAGCATGTACCTGACAGACATGCAAAGTGTCATGAAAATATATTGAACGGTTTCTGAGTTATGCTCCGGAAACGAACCCTACCCTCACAGAACCCAAGTCCATCTTGTTGCTATGGAAACGTAAAAATTAAAAAAATATAAAATTTCTAAATAGCAAAAGGCACCAGTTCAGCATGTACCTGACAGACATGCAAAGTTTCTTGAAAAAAACATTGAACGGTTTCTGACTTATGCTTCGGAAACAAAACGTTTCTAACTTCATTGTGCGGGGGATAATTACCATTCTCATTTCCTTGGAGACTGTATACAATCTAAGCTGCCTACAGTCGCTAAAGTGTTTTTACATCCACCTCACATACCGGGTACCCAATCGCTGGATGACACGTGTGTTTCGGGGTGTATGTACGTATTCGTACATGTGCATGAATGTGCATCTGCCTGCTTGTACAATTCCGGAATTATTCCCCCTTTATAGTGCATTCCTACTGAGATACCATGCTGCAGTTTAGTATAGGTTTCTGACTCAGATATATTATTGGGACTCAGAGCCGACCCTACCATTCGTTAACATACTTTTGTACGGCCCGGCCAGGGGTTCAACCACCAATCTTCTGCTCTCCGAGAAGACGTTATATCCACTACACCATTGAGACGTTTATTAATGAACAGGTGTCCACTGGTGGTATGCATGCTTCGTCTATTGGCACGGGTGGCCCAGTCCTCTAAAGAGTCGTTATTCGCTGTGCAGAGTTGCATTTCTTGGGCACGGCAGAAACCTATTATTGTGGGTTCGAATCCCGGTTCGCCCCGATTATGTTTCTAGGTTTGTCAGCACCATACCCGTGCTCCTGGGTTTGACCAAAGAGGTAAACGTCTAAGACCTGCATCATTTCAGGCTTACTTCCCACATGAAGCTGACACGCCGCGGAATACTGGAATACTGTTAAACGAGGCGTTAAACACAACTCACTCACTCACTCGTCAATTGGCCTAAACCGAGGGGCAAATGAAAGTATACCCATATCGTATTTTGATGTAGTTGTTAAATTTCATTATATATATTTAACCCTCACTCATTCCTCCAACAGTTTGTCAATCATTATTTGTGGCTTGGTAACACATATTGAGATACGATGTATAAGTTGTCAGTAGTTATGCGAAATATCTTTGGGTTTGACGTTAAGAAGTTTGACGTTAAGAATTTTCGAGTGAACTCCAGTGAACAATTATTTTTATTAGTATTTTTTTTTAAATATTCCAGACTTGGATATGTACAGGTCACCGATAGTTGCAATAGTGCAGAAACTTTGAAACTCGTTCTACAATAGTTCCTATTTGAATGGCGGCCATCTGGTGATTTGAATAGAAATGATACCATACAACATTTTCGATAGATTCTCACCAACAACTAGAATGTCAATCAAATACCTAGAATAGAAGGTGTCATTGATTTGTTTTGCATGCTGATTTCAAAACATTCTTAACAATGGGAAAGTTTTTTGATAGCATCTCACACAGTATTTGATGGAATACATCACAGTGTCGATTGCATGTAAAAAGTAATCAGAACGGATATTTTAATAATAAAAGAAAGAGATTCTTTGAAGTCTGTGAGCGACTGACGTCACGATAAACATAATCCCAGACAAATAATGATATTGCACTGTAGCCCACCTGGATGAAGTATCAATAAATATATAAATGTGAAAACAAATATCTAATAAAAAAGGTATTAGCGTTGATATTAAAATATCGGATGCATAAATACTGAACCAAAACTACAGCACTATAAAAAATAATGTCTTTAACAAAATATGTCATCATAAGGAAGAATAAGGGTGGTCAGGCTTGCTGACTTGGTTGTTTCATGTCATGGTATCCCAATTGCGTGGATCGATGGTCATGATGTCAATCACAGGATTGTCTGGTCCAGACTCGATTATTTACAGACCGCCGTTCTATAGCTGGAATAATGCTGAGTGCGGCGTAAAACAACAGACCAAACTAATGGGTAGGTCATTGTTCATAACTTCAGTCACTGTTGGTCTGTTTACAGGCCGCTATCTGTAGCATCTCAACGTGGGTGCCCAACCTCATTGCATGGCATTCTGAAAGTGATGTTTAATTACGGTTTAAATATCACTGTAAAGGATAAACATGTGGACATGTCGATTAGTCAAGTGCAGTTTAGCTGCACCATCAGCCATTGCAACGAACAAACGATGATGCCCTATTGGTCAGCTATACATTTAAATTTCCTAAATTTAAATGTATGGATGATCAGTTGCTTCATCTGGAAGCATGAAACGTTTTTGACATATGTCAAGAACGTTGGGCTTAATACATATGTTCCGTTTTTAAACTTTCTCTTTTTGACAATTCTCTAAAATATTCTTCAGATGTTGTTTGATTTAAAGATATCCTTTGAAACTGTCCATCTGAGGACGCTGCACTTTATTTGTCCAGTCGTTTCTGAGTCGAAAGATGTATGCAGACGAAAAAGACGGACATGAGTAAGGTGAGCTAAATATGAAAAACAACGGTATGTGTTCTGTTTTGGTTGTACCCTTCAACAACAATGTGTTTCATTTGTGTTGCCTTTGATTGTGTTCAGAATTAAGTTCACATTCTTAAGTGAAACTTCTCACGAGAGAAAAGGATAACATTGTCTTTCAGTGCATTAATTCTTTGTACACTGACGTTGTTGTGTGGAAAAGTATTCAGATTACGATCGGTATTTCACGTATATAGTTTGAGATAACGCATGACCTGACTTCATACTTCGGAGGTCATTGGCAACAATGATCAGTATTTTTATTCTTGGGGCCATTTCTGTGGCTTCTGGGTTTGAAATAGGAAAATCAGCTTCAAGCTTCGTTGTGCCTTCATTCTCCTCACCTGGTGGAATCAACTCTAACAAAGAAGGTAACAAATCCCTTACCTTCGTGTATACTCGCCTTTTCCCGTTACTTTCGGACAGCAACGATTGTACTATTAACCGCATTCCGAACAATCCCTCCGTATATATATATTGAACATAAGATGTTAGGGTTATTCTTTCTAAAGTGAAAACCGAGCAAGCAATTTCAGTATAGTTCGTACAACCAGTTTTACAATCAGGACTGCAATTCGAATTTGAGTAACATTGAAGAACCGTATCAAATTGCAAATTAATTATAAACAAACTCCTAAACATTTGCTTTTAAACTGAGGGGGGCGGTCGGGTAGCCTAGTGGTTAAAGCGTTCGCTCGTCACGCCGAAGACCCGGGTTCGATTCCTGACATGGGTACAATGTGTGAAGCCCATTTCTGGTGTCCCCCGCCGTGATATTGCTGGAATATTGCTCAAAGCGGCGTAAAACCATACTCAGTCAGTCAGTCAGTTTTAAACTGAGGAGCGTGCACTTCCTGAATGCGTGGTATATCGTCAATAATCTTTGGCATTATTGTGCACTTTGCAGATGCAAATGGAATGTTATAATGACGAAGCAATTCTGTATGATCTTTTACCAAAGGTTGCGAGCACATACATTTACAATATCGCGAAGTAATTGGTCCTTTGACGAAACCTGCAGTTATGTGTGAAACAGTATTCGTTTATTGCACGTCGCTATATATATATAAGTGACACCATGAGCACTACTCCAATCCCATCTCAAAACAAATTAACATATTTTTTAAAGTATATTTGTCTTGGACCTTTATGGGTAAGATTTTGCTAAAGCGACTCACTCGCTAAGACAAGTGTTCCGAATATCGATATGTTGTGTTGTGTAATTTGTCAGTCACGTGAACTTGTGAAGCTGGTGGATGCATATCGGACCCATTCCATTGACCGAGAATGCTTATTGAAACACTGTTTCAGAATTATATGGCAATGACACCAAACATAGTTACTCGTCTATACATGTATGATCTGAGTAATCTGTATTTTAAATATATATTACCTAATTTTAGCTTTGTTTGTGACATAACACCACACAGCTCCTGGAAGAGCAATAAATGTTAAACTAATTCCTGTTTATAAGTGTCGTTCAAGGGTTAGTTTCTTAAAGACGAGCTCCACTTTAACCTGTGATTCCCATGGCATCACATGAATCCAAAAATTGGCTTAACTCAAAGTCAGCGATCTAACCCACTCAGCCACTTTACTTTATGTGCTCCTTAGTGTCCTAGCATAGGTGCCTTACCCTGGCAGTGTGGGTTCGAATCCCGGACGGGACTCAACTTAAACAAAGTACGAGAATCTGTACTTTACTCAGAAAGTGTTATCCCAAATATAACATGTGTTTCATTTGACCACTTTCTAAATGGCATTGTGTGTATCCTACTTTGAGAGAAATCTATGAATAATCTTTAAAATATAGTCGTGGGGGCCTCCCCTGCTCACACGCTTGTGGACATCATCTTGATGTCAAGGCAATACTTCAATATTTTGTAGTGAAATACTACTTTCATATATTATCCATTATAAGTCCATTTGTCTGTACCTTTTCTAAGGGACCCGTGAAGATTCCGGGGTAGAATAGGTCTTTAGCAAACCATGCTTGCCGTAAAAGGTGACTATGCTTGTCGTAAAAGGTGACTAACGGATCGGGTGGTCAGGCTCGCTGACTTGGATTGTCTAGTCCAGACTCGATTATTTACAGACCGGCGTGTTATGACGTAAATCGTAATAAAACAGTAAATTGTTAAATTTGCAGCAAATTGTAATAATTTTTACGTAAATTTTAATGACAACGTAAATTGTAATTTTACAATTTACGTCAAAATTATTACAATTTGCTGCAAGTATTACAATTTACCTTTTAATTACAATTTACGTCGTAACTCGCCGTCATATAGCTGGAATATTGCTGAGTACAGCGTTAAACAACAAACCACCCACCACCTTTTCTAAGGTATCCGCCATATTTGAAAACAGTGCATAACCTCTCTAGGTATCCAACATATTTGAAAACAATGCTTGACGCATCTAGCTATCCACCATATTTGAAAACAATGCATGACTTATCTAGGTTAACGTCTGAGCCCCATTTGTTGCAATAACACCTTACCATATTAAGTGTCCTTAGTAGGCCGACTATGCTTGTCTAAGAGGCGACTAACAGGATCGGGTGGTCAGGCTCAACAGACATTTCAACTATCGGATAACCCATCTGTACAATATAGCATTGAATAATATGTCTGGTTATGGATAACATGATAAGCTGCACGGAATCTGTGTTTCCAGTTTCCGAGGTCAAGTCAGACCTTGCTTCTGTGAAATCCCGACAAGAAGAAACTGATGAGAAGTTTGACAAGATCCTGGAGCAGATGCAAAGTATTAAATCTGGTACCAAGGGAGAGGAAGGTACACACGTAATTCTCGCAACGAAGACAAGACCAGAACAGCATATTATGTGGTTCAGTGTAACCCTTGAATCTGTACCGACATTTCCGATTCACGGTGGTAAAGGATTGCAGCTAAATCGTTTCATAAGCCTGGCTGCCTATTGACTCCTGAACCCACACATCATTCACTTAGATGTGGCGGTTGACGTTCGCTCAGGGTTCACCTGAAGTTTCTTTTACTGGACCAAATAAGTGTCCAAAATATAAATTCGATTTGTTTTCAATACACGTAAATAACGTTGGAACCCGTTTACATCGAAGTGGAAAACTGTGATAACGAACATACATAAAAACTATCTGATTGCGATTCAGTGATCAAGGACCCGTCAAGATTCCGGGGTATAATTGGTCTTTAGCAACCCATACTCGCCGTTGCGTTTTTGTCTGTATGCATAACGTATCCGAGCCACGTGTATTCGAATTCGAAGTCGGAGCAGAGGAATTATTTGGGGTTGACACCACTTTGCACAGTGAAATATGTCAGCAATATGAAAGCATTGCCATTTTTATAGTAGGAATACTTAAGTATTTCGTTTTTGTAAAATCCACGAGCAATGGTATAGTACTGACAATCAAGAGGATGATGATCAGGGTTAATCCTGGAATTTATGACAATAGGTTCCTTAAATGCCATATCTCTTCATGCGTAAATCGACCCGTGAAGATCCGGGATAGAAAAGGTCATCAGCAACCCATGCTTGCCATAAAAGGCGACTATGCTTGTCGTAAGAGGCGACTAAGGGGATCGGATGGTAAGGCTTGCTGACTTGGTTGATACATGTCATCGTATCCCGATTGAGTGAATCAATGCTCATGATATCAATCACTCGATTGTCTGATTATTTCCTTGATTATTTACAGACCCGCGTCATAGAGTTGTAATTTGCTGAGTGCAGTGTTAAAGAACAAACAAACAAATCAAGTTAATCTGGCATCTTAGACGAATTAGCCACCCTGTCCCCTATTATATTCTTTTACATTTGGTTTTGCTTTTACAGGAATCATTTCTCAGGACTTAATGTTTCCTTGTCATTTACAATTCTCTGGTAGCATTGACTATTTGAAAATATTTCTCACCGGTCTTTGCAAGTAAAGCTGATACTCTAATTTTAAATTTTGAAGGATGCGTGGGGTTCGTTTTTGGAATTGAGATCTAAAGAAGAAGAAACCCCAACAAAACAAACAGAATAAATAACATTTTTGTTGCAGAGAAACGCTCGGGTGTTATTCCGTTGTAATATATTCTCCACGCTTTGACGTGTTTACGACATAATCTGTTTTGCTGGTTCGTATTTGAGAATTTAGAAGCCGCCACTCTGATTTGCGAATCAAGGTTCACGTGTCGCGACTCCCTATGGAGTCCCCTACTGTATCATTCACTGAGATACACAGAAAAATGAATAAATGTTTATCCTGAATCTGTTTAATGTTTTGAACCACAAAGATGAAATTAATGTCGATTCAGTGTTTGTGTCACTTTTATACTTTTGGGCTGTTCAATGCAGATCATATTAACAGTTGTATTCATATCGTTGCCATGTGAGGTAAAGTGGAGAGAGGCAGTTACCTTGTGATTTTAGGTTGGTTGGTTTGTTGTTTTACGCTGGACTCAGCAATATTCCAGCTATATGGCGGCGGTCTGTATATAATCGAGTCTGAACCAGACAGTCCAGTGATTAATATCTTGAGCACGATTCACGCAATTGGGATCGATGACATGCTTCAACCAAGTCAGCGAGCCTGAACACCCAATCCCTTTAGTCGCCTCTTATTATAAGCAAAGTTGTCTTTACGACAAGCACTGGTTGCTGAAGACCTATTCTACCCCGGATCTTCACGGGTCTGCGATTATAGGCGTACCGCAGACCGCAGATCATGAGGTTGGATTCCATACTCGGCCTTATTATGTACCCTGTTTATCGGCAACGTATGGCTGCTCATTGGTTTCACCCCTGAGGTAATTGTCTAAGACATACACCATGCATTACATTCAACCCAAGTCAAACTGATACCCTGTGTAACACTGTAATAATGTTTACAGGCACGTCAAGCAAAACCCACTCGGTCAAACTGAAACAACTTGCATGTAAACTTTGTTTTTGTAAGATGTCATGCCTCATGTAAGCACTGTTTTAATTATATATTATGTATTTTGTCACAAAGACTTAGGCAATCTGGCCTTAAGAAAACCAGCATACGGATGTACAAACTATGACAAGTATTCAGATCCTAACCACGTGGTTGATGGTGACAAGGGCGGCAATCGCAGAGGAGGTCAATGTTTTACTTCTGCTCAATCTGTGTTGAGACCTTGGTGGATGGTTGACTTGCAGGATATCTATGATGTACATAACGTCACCCTTTACAGACGGACGGACGGTTGCAGTATGTGCTTGAAATAAACACCTATTTATATTTATGTAACATGCTATAGGAAACGATACATGCAGAATAAATCAAGTGGTTTAAATCTGATTTTCAATATGGCCGCCAGAACTGCTATTATTCGAAAGCCTATTAATTATCAATTAGTAGTCGCATGCAACACACTTTTCGTTTCTTTTCGTGCAATAGTCAACTTTGATCTTGTTTTGGGTGAGTGAGTGAGTGAGTGAGTATGGTTTTACGTCGCCTTTAGCAATATTCCAGCAATATCACTGCGGGAAATGGGCTTCACACATTGTACCCATGTCGGGAATCGAACCCAGGTCTTCGGCGTGACGAGCGAACGAGTTAACCACGAGGGTACACGATCTTGTTTTGGCCTTTATGTATTAGTTCCTGATATTGATAATGATATGATATTGTATTGTATTTTTATATCAGTTTACAGATTCCGTGACCTGGAAATACTAGTTTATAAAGAAAACCCCATGGAGAACAAAAGTTCTCAGCCGATGACATGTGCACAAAAGAAAGGGAAACTATCAAGACCTGAAGTTCTGACCTGCAAACCTTCGACAACGGGTCGATTTGTGTTGTTGCGTTACATTCCACCAAGAGAGGAAATTTTCACAGTCTGCGAAGTTGAGGTCCGTGGAAAGCTCGCCAAAGGTAGGAATTGTAAACAACCCGTCACTAATATTGTTCTTTGTACAAACATTTGAATCATGTAAATGAGGCCACACACAAAGCTGTGCTGTAAATGTATATTGATGTGATATCAGAAATATATATCATCCAAACTTGTTTCCTTTCAGGTTAACTACCAAGCTGTGGCGACATTCAAAAAAGTGTCACATAATCTGATGTAATAAAAAGTCTATTGAGGTCCTGTTTCCTGTTATTCCATTATTTAAGGAAACGAATGGTTAGGTTGTGTGACCAGTGGATATTATTGTTCCATCAGCCGTACCAAGTAGGAAACTAGCAAGAACTGTTAATAGTTAACATATTTTCTATTCAGTTTCTCTGAACGCAGTTATTGATGACCTGACTAAAAGTGCCTTTGTCTCGTTTTTCGTCGTCCATCGTCCTCAAACATTTTCAACTCAAACGTTACCTTGTACTTGAAACTAAAATTTATCATCTTGTTCCCACATGAATGTCCATGTGCCTCGCAACATTCATGTTCTGTTCTTTGGTGATATTTAGAATAGTGACGTTTGATATTGTGACCATGCCCTTATAATTACATTCGCCAATCTTCGTCTCTAGGAACGCGACATCTCCAACTCAGAATCAGAGTCACGTCATCCGATCAAGTGATTGCTCGTTGCCAAACATCATCATCTAGGTCACATGGGTATATATTCAATTTAGTTTATATTGTGAATATTTGCAAGAAACATATTTCATCAACCGCAATGAGGTGAGGTGAGGTGAGTGCGGTTTAACGTCGTGTCCAAGATTATTGCACTTATAAAGCGACGTGCATGTACATGTGTGTGCATGTTTGGCTGCTTGTACTAGTCCGGACTGATGCCGATTTATAGGGCTAGCTCACTGAGATACCATGCCGCAGTTTAACATGAATACCCCCAGTATACTGACTCTGAGCCGACCAGTCCTTGCTTTAGCCCCTTAATGCCGAGCGCCAGACAGGGTAACAATAAGTACTATTTTTTACGTCTTTTGGTATGATGCGGTCGGGGATCGAACCTCGGACGTTCCGCACTTTGGGCGGACGCTTTACCACTAGACCACGGAGGCGGTCTCAACCGCAGTGAAATGGCATGTGATACATAATAGGAAATGGCACATTTTCTTTTCTTCTAGGCACCATGATGGCGCATACAACTTCATTGCCGTGGACGATAACTAAGGACATATGTAACTAAGGACATATGTAACTAAGGACATGTAACTAAGGACATGTAGCTGAGGACATGTAGCTGAGGACATAGAAGTTTTAGTTTTAGAAAGGCACCTAACTATGGAAGGTCAACACAGTTGTAAGGCGTATTAGGCTCATATATAGTTGAAACCTTGTGTGAATTGAACAGTGTGTTTGATTGTTTTACAATATGACATACTACATTGATTAATACATTACTGCATTTGGTTGAAATGGTATTGCTGGTTCCATAACAGTTTATTTTATTCTATCTGACCATAAACTATTATTTCAGAAAATGCTTGAAAAAACAGTTATGCTTCAGGCAGCTGAAATATAAAGAACTTGTCTGTAAAAATGATGCCATTGCTGCAAGGTGTTCTTAAAACTATTTATATTTAAACTCAAAGTTTTGATTAATAAATCTCAGGCCATTTCCATTGCCTAATATCAAACTGTCAGCCCCTGAGGAGAAGTAAATGTTTTTGTAGACATTTTTAACTGTTGACTTAATTTCGAGATGTGCTACAGTGACAAATTCTGCATCTGTATATCTTGAGATATTTAAAATATCCATGAAATGGAGTGCAAAGGAAGACAAACCTAATGTGTAAACGTTTTGTTTCTGTTACTTGTTTCTTAACGAATGAATGAATGACTTTATTTCGTAAGGGGGCCACCGGCCCATTATACATTATTCATTAATCGGTATCCATTGTAACGATAGAACACCAGACGATAACAGAGTATATGAAACTAACAATGGTAAAAATATAGAGCAGATCATACTAAAAAGATCATTTCTTGTCCACAGGGGTTTGTCCAAACCGATTACTTTATATGGAATTGTTTACAGTGCATAAATAAACAATGAAGCTTTGGAAAGTATCAGTACTTAAAGTACAAAAGAGTTTGTCACAGTAGATAAGTACATCAATTCTGTTAACAGTGTATATATGAGCAATACAGTTTGAAAAGTAGAGCAGAAAAGTAAATC